ACAGACCAGCAACTTATATAGAGGATGGTAGTCCATGTGCAAACAGACCAGTCGATCTGTCATCTCGCTGCTATTCGGGATGGTGGAGTGTGTGCATTGATAAGGCAGAGAGGGGAAAAGGGGAGGGCAGGTATGCATAGTCCAAGTAACTACTGGACATCTGCCTGATGTCTCTTGTGCTTTCTGTCAGGCTGACTGAAGTTCAGCTGGATCCAAACCATACAGCGAGTCAACAGTCAAACTGTGCAGCCGGTTTGACTGTTCTTCTCCCCTCGGTTGACTGTAGAGTTGACAGATGTGTCAGAATGGTGGATTTGTTCACTTGCTGTAGACAGCCCCCCTCCTGTGTTTCAGATGTCTCATAGTGCATTTTGCTTCGGGCGATGGGGTGCGTGTGTGCATCGTATACATATACTTGTGTGCGGTGTTTGCACACTGAATTGCGAGGCCCACTCAATTATCCCTGCTACAGAAACCCCCTTAATAGCAGTGATTTAAACTTTACCTGCATGACTGCCTTGATTGGCTATTGGAAACAACACAGTGATTTAATTACCCTTTGAAGACTGTTGCCCTCTCAACTTTCCCCTCACTGTGTACTTATCTGCTCCCTCCGGGGGAGATGATCTTGTCACTATACCATGCCATAAATAATGAAGCCTTATCAAGACGAGAGAAAAGTCTCCAAGGAAGTAAAATAGGCAAATACTGGATAAAATGACAGGCCATATAAGCACACATGCATTTTCTGTCTCTTGCCTGTCACAGTCTCACGGCTGTCAGTTGCTTACTTTACCTGATAACTTCTTAGATTCAAGTTCTGGTTATCGAGTGCATGTTTTTTCATTCAACATTACTGTTAGAATTTTTTTTTGTGCATGCCTGTGTGTGTGTGCAAATGGCAGGCCAGTTCCAGTAAGGCGTTTTCCCTGATTAGAAATCTGTCCTGATAAGATGAAGTGGTGGTGTGAGCATAAAGGCCAGGGGAGACTGAGGAAGAGGTTTTTTGTGTGAGTGTGTGTGCGTGCGTGTGCGTGCGCGTGTGTTCGTTTGTGTGTGTGTGTGTGCGCGCACACAATGGAGGGGTGAGGTGGGGTGGTGGGTTCGAGGTGTTACTTGCTTGTCTCTGAGGCCTGCCTGTCATGTACAGCATCAGTCATGCTCTTTCACAGCAGTTTTATTTCATCCACCACTCCCTTTAGTGCTTTGATGGCACAATTCACTGATAGTGCCTTGTGGGAAGTTATGCTGTTTGGGAGGCGTGTGTGTGCAGTGTTACACATTGTCAAATTTTTGTCAAGTGCCTTTAAACTGTGGCAGAGATTGGATCAAAACCAGTCAGTGGAATTATTACAAGTGAGAAGAATAGATAACTCCTGAAATTTCTAGCTGTGTATCCTCAACTGACCCTAAAACTAAAGACTGCTTTGTTATTCTTGCAAAAATATTAAACTTCTTCTTTCTTGTACACTCAGCAATGGTTTTGACAGAAACAAAAATTAACATATTTGTTTTGTTGCTTTTTGTCTGTTATTTTGGATACTATGCGGAAAGCACTTCCCCCAAAGTATATGACACCATAGGTGAAAATTGAGAAAGTCCTTCATCTTTCTTCACTTTTTCACATTTTCTCTCCTACTTTGTCCACAGTCCCACCATTAAGTTGACATTTATCACAGGCCTTCATGAAGAGGCTTTAACTTGCTTAGGTGCGAGATGACTCGATCTTTGGCTGCTGTGGCAGAGCAGAGTGCGTCCTTTCAGCTTAGACTGTTTTTTCTCCCAGTAATGGCGTCTGTCTCTAATGCACTGCTTTCTCCTGTGTTGTGATTGAATCCTGCTTTCTCGTTCTATGTTATCTCATCTCAGCTTCTGATGTTAACTGCGGTTTCTCGTCAGTGGCTCAGTTTTTAACTTGCATCTTTGCGTCACACTCATGTTATTAATCTGTTTTGCATCATATCTCTAAGCAACTTTTTATTCCGGCAGTGACGTCTTTTCACATATAATAATGTTGGAAAATCCGCCTGCCATTAGATCCTAAAATATCTGACGTCGTCACAGCGTATCTGTAAAGTGCCCTTTGCTTTTTCCCTGCTTTTGCTGGACCTGTGATGTGATGCAATGCAGACTCCCCACTGTTCTGCTCTCACAAGTGTATCCTTATCTTTCCCACTTCCTGGGTGATAGCGCAATCTGATAACTACAACTGTCGCCACTCCCTCTGATTGATTAACCAGTGACCTCTGACCCCCTGCGGGACATTTTAATTGGCTGATTTATAATGAGCAGGCTTCCCCGAAGAAGAGCTGTTTTAAGGCCAGAGAGGATGAGGGGGTGATGCTGGAAGGGGGCAATCTAATTAGCTGATTTAACCGATAACACCTGAGGCAGCTTGGTGAGAGTGTGTGCGTGAAATGCAATTTCTATCTTATCACTATCTCTTATATGATAGAGATGGATGTAGTCCTTGCAGTATTATGTGAGGGTGATTCATGGATGGCATGGCCCAGCCAAAGTATGTTTATATGCACCGAAACGGGGTGGTTAATATTCTGGCACTGTGTGTTTATTGTGTGTGGGGTTGAGAGAGCTTCGGTGTGTGTTGTAATAAATGAGATTCTGTTGGGTTATAAGTTATGATGAGTAGATCAATACTACATCTTAATGCAGTAAGCTGCAGGCTTTTTAGGGGCTGGCTCCTTATATATAAGTGTATGTAATAATGTATTGCTATAAATATATACCCAATAGTATCACATTTAGGATGATATTACAAGAATGAATAGTTCAGTTCTTTACATTTTTACTAATTCCATTTGCATCCTTTAGTTTAACATAGTTTCTTTTACTTTTTCATGCTCTTGAGCAAGTGCTGCTCTGCTCCAAATACGGTGTAGTGACAAAGACAATCTAAAGTTAGGTGTGACGCGTCATTGCTTGTTGAACATATTTGCACGAGTAGTAGGAACCCAGTAGGGATACGATTGTACTGGCAGATGATGCAAAGTGACTGTTGTCCTTCATGCCTATTTATATCAGATTGCTTTTTCTGTTGCCAATTTGACTGGTTTTGCATCATTTAACCTCTTGAAAGGCAATTTCAAGCATTAAAGTTAGTAAATAGATTTGTAACCTTGTATCACAGCATCGTATATACATCATAATCTCTGTTTCAACACTCAAGTGTGTGATGCTGAAGATTTCTTTTGTTGCTGCATACCATCAAATAATAAAAATTTCAGATGCATTGAATTTCCTTATTATAAGCATTCGCCTGACATCTTCGGAAACACTTAGATTGAGCTGCAACATCAATAACAACAACAACGACAAAGGAACCATTGAAAAATCTACTTTTATAGTAGCTTGAAAAAAAGTCATTAAAATGTGGAAATCACAGGTCGCCGAAGCCTCAGCAGACATTGTTTTTTAAACTGTTTTGTTTAACCAACATCCCAAAGGTTCTATAATTACAACTTTTGATGACATTGATGTCTTTCACCAAAAGCACAAGTGAGATATGAAAATAACTGCTATAGTTTAACAAATGTAGTGACTAATCATTCCAGGTCTAATCTTGACTTACAGCATAAATGTGTTTCTAACTGTGGCCCAAGATTGGTAACTTTTTACAGAAATTAACTGACACATTTTCAGTAGATGAGCCTGTTCATTTTTAAATATTTTTTATTACTTCATCTAACTTTCTACTTCTTTTTATATCCAACCATTTCCATTTAAGTTTTTATAGCATATTTATTGTTTCCTTACTTGAGTCTTTTTGTGTTTCACGCTGCAGTGAACAGGGTGCAGTCTTATGAAAATGTATTTTTTATTTCTCCGTTCTCTCTCCTCTCCCCCTTTCCACAATACATATTTTTCCATTGTCCTCCTTGTGTGGCCGTGTTTTTTTTTTTTTTGCCTCTCTCTCACAGACTGTGAGGAGAGTGTACCAACAGAGGAGCCACGTAAGTCCAAGGATAGCTCAGTGTGTGGCCGTGTTTGTGTACGTCTGTGTGTGGTGGGTTTGTACCGTAGGTGTGCATGTTTGTGGACATGCTACCAGGCTTTTCATGCAGGAGCTCCCAGCACACCTCTTCACTTTTTAATTAGATACAGGCTCCCTGAAAGAACACCGTGTGGAAGAGCAGAAATACCTTTCCTGTGGATTAACCCCTGTACTCTTTACCTCTGTTGCCTGCTTTTCTCCTCCCCTCTGTTCTCCTCTCCTCTGTTCTCCTCTCCGCACACACACATGATAATTACAGCACCAGACAATTACCCACCGTACTCCTGGGATGTACATTTTGTTCTCTTAATCTGGTGTCTTAAATAATTAAAACCAACCATGAACTCTTTGTGAGTGTGGCTCAAGAGAGCGTGTGTGTGTGTGTCTATCTGTATGTGTTTGTTGTTTTGTTGTTTTTTTTTAAAATCCAGATCTTGTGGTTCCTCTCCTGTCTACCAATAGCACTATCAAAATCCAACTTACCTGGTTCCGTGTGACCCGAAACAGATTTACCTTCACCTATAACCTGATTCCTGAATGTGCCACTTTGTGTTTGTGGTGGAGCTGTGGCTCTCCGTTACTCTGTCAGTGGTGTGATCACAGCAGTTCCCCCTTAATCCATTTCTCCAAGCTTCTCTAGTAGCATGGCATCCTATCATTGTCTCATTGTTCACTTGCAAAGATACTCATGACAAAAAAACAAAAGATGTTTGAGTATATTTAAACATTTGACATCTTTTAAAATCTGTAAAATACTACAAGTCAATAAATAAGGACTGCAGCTGGGCAATCTCTATCCCAGTTGACTTTTCACGCTTACTACCTTTATGTTTCACCGGAAGACTGAAATCTAAATCTCATAATCTTACTGTGTCTGAATTTCTGTGTGCCATGCATATGTCAGCAATACAGTTCAGTTAGTGCATGCATTTGTTCAAATTTTTGCCTTTGCATGGTGACAATAATTCAGTTTTTCTGTCTCCATCAGCCAAAAAAGAAGAGGAGGATCTGGAGGATAAGAAATCCATAAAGAAGAGAATTAAAGAGCTTAAGGTGCTCGATCCCAAGATTGCACAGAATCTGTGTAAGTATTTGTTTCCTTTCATCTCACTCCTACCAAGAACTGGGTTTATGCACACCCGTGTGAGTGGCTGTTAGACCGCACTGGGCATGTCCGTCCTTTGGGCCTCACTTCTGCCCTTCATCTCACTGAAGTCACCTCCTGTATCTTTTGTGGTGTTTTTTATTTCTTTTTTTGTGACCATAAGAGACAGTATTGGCAGGGAGTGAGTTACACCTTTGCTTGTTGCTATAGCAATTAAAACAAAACAACACTTACTCTGAACTTGGTCATTACTGGCTATGACTCATGTCTTCACACTGAGCTAATTAACAATGTTAAGGATCCATTAAGGAAAGAAGAAAATGCTACAGTGTGTGATCGCATTGATCTGTCTGTTTCATTCTCGCTCTATCTCTCTCTCCCACGTTCTCTCTCTCTCTCTGGCACACACACACACACACACACACGCATGCTTGGTCTTAAAATGACCGTTTTAAAAGCACCGGGCATTAATGAGGATCCAGCTGATCTCTTAAGCACTCTCAGATCTTAGCACCTCATTGGCTTATATCAAGGGGAGCCGTGACCTTTGTTTCATGTATTAAAAGAAAATGAGACTAATCAGCCCACTAACAGTGATAAATCATGCAGCAGAAATTATAGAGCAGGAAAGAGGAGAGAAAAAAAAGGAGAGTAGGCGGTTTATGTGTTTCGCCATAGGAGGTAAAGAGTCTAAAAGGTTTTTATTTCTGTTGCTTGATTGATGCCGTCACATTTAGGATACAATGGAAATTTATTCCACCAGTATGCTCTAATGTACTAAAATTGTCTCATTAGCAATTAAAGTAGGGCGGTTATGTCACATTTTTACATGTGTTTAACAGAAAAAGGGCTGGTTCGCCAGACAGATCTGGGTTGAATGTGCATATGCAGTTGTTTTTATGTTTCATTAGCTCGGGTGCTGGAAACCTTGACTTTGCTACAAATTACCACAGAGATTATCAGTAAAATGCATTTTGTTAGTGTGTTTTGTCTTATTTAAATTTTATACAAATTCTTCATGATGATGCTTCTTTTTAATGCAAGTCAGTTAAATGCTTTATACATCCTGCCAAAAGCACTGACCCAAGCACATTTTGAACACCATGCTTACCTGCTACTGCAATATCTCGCAAAACCGTGTGAAACCAGTGACATTAAATTGAAAATAATTTTCTTTTGTGCCTCCAGTGGAGAGAGTGATTTTAGGCAGTGATGTATTGTAAAATCTGACAATTGCACAAGAGAAAAAAAAAAGCACAATCCTGAATTAGTATCAGCGAGTCGTTTCAGGTTCTACTGTTTATCATGTGAATGTGATGCCTGTAACTGTACACCAGACACATTCAAATAAAGAATACTTGCTCCTATCACCTAGCCTTTTACCTTCAATATTCCCAAAAGTTCTGCGGCATCTAGCTCCCTAAGCTCGCTAAGTCACATATATTTTAACCAAGGTTTTTTTTTCTTTTCTTTTTTCCATGGTTTCACTGGCTAGACTAATGACTTACACTGACAAGGCATTTGCCACTCTGTCCCTAGTTGTACCACTTGCTTGAAAATTTCATGCTTGCTAAGCCAGTGTAATTTTTCAGATGTATTTTTTTCCAAAACAGTTTCATGTCTGACTGACTCATGCAATGATGTGTCTTAAACTTTACTTTTCTTTGGTTTGCAGTTCATACTTGAGCTGTTATGTTTTGTTTCACACCATTCTCTTTTTTTTCTGTCTTTTTCCTTTCATTTCGACCAGTTTTCTGAAATTGCAACATGAATTCTCAGTAGTGAATTGTTTCTCTTGCCATGTGCTACTTTTTGTCTTTTATTTTCTCCTGTATAGCCATCTTCCTGGGTTCCTTCCGTATGCCTTATCAGGAAATTCGCCGCATGGTTGTGGAGGTGGATGAGGAGCAACTTACTGAACCTATGATCCAGGTAAGACAAGTTTTGCAGAAAGCTGTAAAAATGTTGTGAGCTTCAGGTATTTATCCGACTTCAGGGGATGACTTCCATAGACCAGCTAACTGTTGACCAGCCTAACTCTGGGACAGAAACTATATTGGAGACTAGCTCAGCCTACAATGTCTAATTTTTCCCCTTGAGGCTGGACGGGTATTTTTAGCGCTGCCCTTCTCCTACTCAGTTGGTCAGGTTCATGCCCCAACTCTTGTTTTATTGTCTTGATTAGTTGTCTACTTTAAAACGGCACGTTGCCTCAGGCTGAGGTATTGGGCATCTGTAAAGCCTGCGGTACAGCAGGTGTTGGAGCAGTTGGTGAGCACAGACAATCTGTCAATAAAAAATAAATAAAGAAGCACTATGCTGATGTTCAGCTGATATTTTTAAATTATATTTTTCTGGTGCTCTTTTTTTATTTTTACTTTTTTGAAACCTCCCCACGACTTAGCTTCTTGGCCATAACTTCTATGTTTTAATATCACCTGTACAACCCAAACCTATCCATCCTATCTGTATATCTGTCTGTTTATCCATCTGTCTATAAATCTCTTTCTTCTTTCTATCTCAGCAGCAATGCGACAAAACAACTTGATTCATTTTCAGTCACTACTTGAGGAAAGATTTGCTAGCCACTATTACAACTACTGCTACTTGTAGCTTTTGCTGGTCTTTCTTAAATGAACAGGAAGAGTCAGAGTTAGGTGACCTTTCAAGTTGCTTGCTTGATTGATTTCTTACAAAGAATGTGGTCACGTTCTATGGACGGTTTCCGCATTTGACTGAGATCTGATGACCTCAGTGTGAGCAAGGTCCTCTTTGTATGCAGTCTGACCAATTAGGTGGCGTTCTGATTCTGCATGCTTCATATATACCTTGCATAAGTTTTTCCTTATTCGAACGGAATATCCACATATAGGTTGTAATGCTAGGTAGAACTGAGTATTTCTCTTTCTCTGTCTGTCTTTCTTTGTTGACTCTAGATGTCTAAATAGGTTTTTGGTTTTTGTCTTCTGTGGACAGGCCTCTGTCCACATAACAAAACAAAAACTTTCTCTTCTACATTTAGTCTTCAAATCTACATAAAAATGGCGTTTTAGGTTACTTCAGTGGATTCAGTGAAGCTATGTAAAAAAAAATAGACAAAGGGTTGGAGCAGCAAAGATGTCACACCTTAATTCTTGATGAACATTGTTGCCTTGTATAATAAACGTGCATCTGTATATATATATATATATATATATATATACATACCAGTTTCTTTACATTTGTTTAGCACCAGCAAGTACAGGTTCATCTTCACCTGTCTTTGCTGCGCCATTTTACCAGCACACAAAAGCCTTTGCAATTGCTGTGTCCAATATTACATGGTGGTCAGAAAATGAAATGACACAATGTTCTTTTCTGGTATTTGACATATTGTTGATGTTGCCCAACATGCGTATTGCAGCATTTCCAGTTGTATTGGAGTTCTTGTGTGAATGGAGATGTTTTGTAAAAGCGATGGTCACGTGGACACTTTTTTTTTTTTCTATAAGTGAAGGGAAAGATTCTCCTCAAGAAAAGTATCCTCTTTAGCTGTGGACAATGCCTCAGAGCCTGACCATTACTGGATTTTTTTTGGAGATTTTATCATAAATGTCCTAAATGTAGTTTTTTTCAGGAACTGTCATGAACAAATGCATTTTACATGTGAAAAATAAAAGTGTTAATAAACTGGACAGACTATCTACTGATGACACAGTTTAGAAGTGGCCATGAGAAACAATACTTTGTTTTAAAAAGGAACAAAACAACAATATTTTTAGTGCTTGAGACGATGAAGCTACCCCACCAATTTTACAGTGGGCATACAAAGATAACGTCTGCAAAAAATATGTTTTTCCCCTCCCTAGAATACTGTGAAATTTATTTTAACAGATTAAAGTGGATGCCATGATATGCATCTGTCACTGACATTTCTGTTCTGCAGTTTCTTGTCACCTTTCGACTATCAGAAATGGTGATACTGACAGCTGTGATTCTGATTTGATCAGGGTATTGACTGATAATTTTACTTCTCTTTTACTGACAATAGTTGTAGTTTAAGGTGTTGATACAATGTCTTGATTTTTATTTTTAATGTATGATTATTATTTTTGGAGCTGAACTTTGTTTTACTTCCACTACCAAAGAAAGCTCTCATTATAAAATTATTTAAAAAACATAGAACATAGATGAATAGAAAATGTCACTGAAAAAATGAAATAAAAATAAAATTAGTAGGAGTGAAATGTGTAAAAGCTCTATAGAGTGTTGGCACTAAATGTTTAGGAAGTTCAAGAATGCTTTTAAGACTTTTAAATTATTTACCGGCGACTAGTTTAAACAAATTAAAAAAACAAACCTGAGCTATGGATGTACATTTTAAAGAATTCATTGGATCAATAATTGGTAATTACAACACACAAATGATTAATAGTCATTAAGGCAAATTCCATTAGAGTGTATCGATAAAAACTTAAGTAATGGACGATATTTGTTGTGACTCCAGGCACAAGGAACATATGCTGTAGCAGCATTTGTCGAGGTGACGGTGAACATTCAGATGAGAAGGCGATGTAATTTATGTGACTCAAATAATTTAACATTATTTTCTTTTGGCAGTAAAAAAAAATCTAAATTTTTAATTTGTCTCTTTACATGTATTTACTGATATGTCAGCGCTTTATAATAGAAAATATTGTGTTGTAGTTCCAGTGTCTCTCAGACGTGGCTGAACCTCACAAAAGCACACAACAAATAGAAGAGGTGTAGGTTAGACTTCTATAAAGCTTTGTACAAAGATCGATAGTCCTGTCGTTCATCCGAGCTTAAGTTGCAAAAAAACACCGCACTGGTCTTTAGACAGAGAATGTGAACAGCTGCACTCGTGTTGAAACCCAGACACAGCCAGTCTCCCAAGAGTTAGATTATTATTTTTTGTACAAGAGTAAAAAAAAAATGAAACATGAAAATGAGGAGGATATAACAGCGGAAGATATAATTATTAAATTAAAGTGTGTCGAGTTTCCCGACGGCTGCTGCTTTCTTCTGTTCTGTTTCTCACACCTGTTCTTCCTCTTCTTTGTAGAACCTTGTAAAGCACCTACCAGAACAGGAGCAGCTGAATGCATTGGCCAAGTACAAAAATGAGTACTCTAATTTGTCAGAGCCTGAACAGTTTGGGGTTGTGGTGAGTACACACTCTTACACAAAGCTGCACACACAAACTGTCAACTCCCCAACAGCTACAGCTCTATTTGTATGCGCACACACACACACGATTTTGGTGAATATTATTGTAGTTTTGTTGATGGAAAACCTCTGACATTATACTGTTTTGTGTATCCACGAGGTTTAAATGAAATGCAGCATGAATTTAATAATTCAGCAGAATATAATCATGCATAAATGGTTTTACAAAACAGTTTTATTACTATTTAAATTTATACTAATGTAAACCCGTCTTGTATTTGCATCATATGTCTTTCTCGGTGTCCCTCTTTCCTATGATAACACAAACATGCACACACACACACACACAGGGAGCACTTTCATATGATTATCATAATCCCGAGCTTTTTAAAATTCTATCTTTTTAAGCCTTAAGAGGAAAGGCAGGACACCTGTGGACTGATGCACTAATTTATGCACATTAAAGAGCAGCACTGCTGTCTAATTATGTGTGCATCATTTTCTTAAAGACTTTTCAAAGGAGGTTTATTCAGAATTATGCATGAGCGGTATAGGAGTTTGTGTGTAATTTGCGATTCTGCCTAGTAACTAAGTTAGTGACAAAACATGCAGCGATCTACTTCTTTTGCCCCGTGATTTGTATTCACCCATGAAAGGGATAAAAAGGAAGGAAGACTGAAAAGGCAGGGACTAAGTGGTCGATGTGGGGGTGGGGAGTAGGTGTGGTGGGGTAAAAAATAGAGCGTGTTCAGCTGTTGTATATAGTTCATCAGGGAGACACAGAACAAAGAAGAGCCTGCTTATATAATGTTGTTTCGCTACTGTGCCTGCGTGGGCCCAAGGAGGCCTGTGTGCTTTCACCTATCAGAAAGACTCAGGTTCAAAGAGAATTTTTAATTTACCATTGTGCAAACACATGCATTTTATCTTTTCTATTTTCAATAACCGACGCTCACACTTGATTTGAACTCTGCTTTGTGTGTAGACATTATGCCTATTTCAGGAAATTGACCTGATTGTGTTGTAGAAGTGGATGCAGTGCCTTTGACACCAGGGCAACACACTTATTTAATGTGTCTCTCTGCAGTTACGCAAATAAATTAAATGTTCTTGTGAGATTAAGTCAAAAGGATCTCATGCTTACAATCTTGATGTTGCTAACACTCTATGGAGACATTTATTACAAGTTGTCTAAACATTTACTCACATTAATATGTTTTCACACAATATGGTGCATGATCTTTTTTCAAATTCAGCGTTGGTGCTCTCACACTCCCGTTAGCACGAGAGAAACATACAACATGTCAACACAACTGTCTTGTCCCTCTCACAATACTGTCACCTCACTGAATTATGACCTGGCAATACACGGGCAAAATTTTCCATAACGTCCTCTCCATTGTGTTCTATTAGAACCCATCTCCTCATGTTGTCAATACAACCTCCCAATGCCCTCTGTAGCCTTTATGGAAACATCAGCAGCACACATTCAGTCTGAGAGTGCACTTTGCTTTCTTTCTCTGATTATTCTCCCCTAAATACAATATCCTTATCACGTAATTCGTCCCATCTCTTTGCTTCATTTCAGCATTAGGTTTGATTCTTGTGCACCTTCCCATTTCTTAATTTTGTCATATAATTCTTCTGCTCCGTTTCCTCCCTCCTTCTCTCTCACGCAAACAGACACGGTGCACACACCCACACACACACTCCCTCACTCACCGACTGACTGAAATAGTCATTTGATAACATTACAGTAGCTATAATTAAACCCTTGATGGAGGACATCAAACCGCACAGCCAGCTGTTGTGTGAAACAGACAATTGGAACCTGCACCCCTCCCTTCTACCCCGCACACGTACACAATCACTGTTGTGGCCAGGTCCTGGGCCCAATGCAATATTTTCCAATTTTCTCTAATTGTGTGAGAGTGGTAATCCAAGGCAGCCTATTGTATATTCCACCCCCTCCACTGCCTGCCCTATATGGACACTAACTCCACAATTAACTTACCAGACCTGGGTCCCAAATCAAATCACTGCCAGCATCTATTACTACTGCCTAGCAACACTTTTCAACATGCTGGTTGCATAAATGCCTTTTAAATTAGATCGGCTGAATGGGAGAGTGTGCCAAAAGTGTGATTGTAGTTAGTTGAGTTGGACTGTGTTCTCTGATGTGGTTTTCTCGCTTTAAAATATTTTCTTTTCTTCTTTTCTGCTTTATTCTCCTTTCTGTAATTCCCCCTTTTGCTATTATTCTTTTCACATCCGTACCTTCTTGTTTTGTCCATCGCTTTCCCTCCTCTTCCAGATGAGCAGCGTAAAGCGGCTGCGTCCTCGCCTCAGCCACATCCTCTTCCGGCTACAGTTTGAGGAGCAGGTAAACAACCTTCGCCCAGATATCCTGGCAGTAAACGCCGCCTGCGACGAGGTCAGAAAGAGCCGCTCCTTCGGTCGCTTGCTGGAGCTGGTGCTGCTGCTGGGGAATTACATGAATGCAGGCTCTCGAAACGCCCAGTCATTTGGCTTTGACCTCAGTTCCCTTTGCAAGGTAAGGGTTGAAATGCTCACCCTGCCATCAGCTGTTCACATACAGTGTCATTTATCCTGCCACGGGCAAAGGTTCAACATAAGTGATGCATGTTCAATAAAACTCCTGACATGAATTTTTTTCTATAGATTTTACACCACTGTGTTTGCAGTTGTACTCTTGTAGCAGTATTCTATCATTTTTGTTGACCTGAATCACATTTTTTTTTTTTAGAATCTTACTTAAAGGTGGCCTTCCAGGTTCTTCTTATTCTCACTACTGACGTCTCACTTCATGTATTAAGAAACCTTGATAGAATATGGATATTGTATTTCTATTTGGTGTCAAAAATACAAGCCCTAGTCCTGTGTTGAGAATGAAGGCAGCATTTGTCCATTTGTGATACCTGTAGGTATGTCTCTATACTATCCTGCATGTTGTCTCGAAGTGCTAGCCCACGTGTATCAATGTGCTGTTTTTTTTTTTCTCTTTTATGTCACCTTGGCTGAGCCTTATCAGTGGCCTGATCCAAAGTGGCTGCTGCGATGAGACATTTTATTTTAAACTATTTCACTTGATTGAACACTATCAGCCCCACAAGACAGGGTTTTCTCGTATCAGCTGGCTTCCATCAAAGCATCCAAACCCAAGGAGTACTTTATTCTCATTCTCCTGCTCAGAATGATAACTGAGGCTATGATCACTATCCCTTTGAAAGTTCACACAACCCGCAGGATTTCCCTTGCTTTTGTGGGCAGAGACATAGCAAACACCTGTACCTGTGGATTTTACGTCGCACGAAGGTGGAACGCTGAGCCTTTCCCGTGTGATAGTGATGGTAAGAACAGGGTGTAATCCTGGAGTACGAGACTCCTCCAGTCGCGGGGGTTACATTACAGCTGTTGGCACTCACGCTGCAGTTTCCACAGTAACAACCACCGCAGCCATTTGTCACTGCCACATCGTTGCCCTGTTAGACTTGAATGCGTCTCTTCGTATAAACACCGCCGCATGTGCATAGACAAACATGGATTCATACATACATGATGGATTGGGTGCATTAGCGTGACAATATAAATCGATTAATAAAGGCCTGTTACGGCTGATGTTATAGCACAATGCTACTGTTCCAGCATGTCTGCTTCTTTATCTTTGTGCGCACATGTCGTCTGACGAAGGTGTGAGTCGGATGTCACAGGCAGGATATATAGAGGATGACATCACCTTCATGCCTGCCCCTGAGTTTGACAACTTAATTCCACGGCACACTCCAAAGCACAGGAAAATTGCACCCAGCCCAACTGGAAAAAGGAAAATGTTTACATTGTCAACTATGATTACCATCCATCTAAATTCAGAAAGGGACCTTTTGTGAGCGAGCACTTGAGGCTTTTTTTTATTTATTTTTTTTTGAAAAAAAAAAAGATAAACAGAAATGAAAAGAGAGAGATGAGAATGTTTGATTAGAGGAGATAATACAAACATGATTAAACCCAGCGGGTCTGAGTACACTGCTGTCTACCAATAGATCACCTAGAGAGATACACAGCAACACACTCCACAGGAGGGATGTTTGGCGGGGATACTGAGAGACATTGTGGAATTAGACTGTAAAAGAGCAATGATGGAAATTTATCAGAGAAATTGAAAAATTGTTGCGTGTGGGCGAGAGAGAGGCACCAAGTGCAGTGGGTCATCACATTGTGAAAATACGTCTGCTTGGATGAGTGTGAGACATAAAATACTTTGTAGCACTGTCAACGCTTAGCATTCATAAAGTCAGGGCCTGGAATAGCTTACACTGGTTAAATAAGGGACAATGACACATGTTCTCTTGTTGAATATCGTCAGGTAGATAACGATATAGCACCCAAAAGTCTATTATCAACAAAACTGCCGCAAAATATTTTAAAGCAAAATTTAATAGCATCTTTTTTTTGTTTGCTACAGCATATATATATCTGTTCTGTTAATCACTTATCCTTTGTTCACCTTTGAGGAAAACAGTCCAGAACCCAAAGGAAACAATTTTTATATATGTATTTGGTTTCATGATGCCATCTGCCCTTAATGTTTGGCAGTAACTTAGTAGGATACCAATCCAGTATCCATATGCATCAGAAGTCTACATAAATGGAGACCTTATTTAAATATAGCCAATCAAATCTTGAATAATTTAGTAATGTTAGCGTTCTGTCATAGGCAGAGCACACGGTCACACCGAGCCACACGACAGACTAACCCACATTAGCTTTCCTGCTAAAGTCTCCCTCTGAACTTCTTAACTAACTGGAACACATCTTGTCCTGCACCTTAGCTTGTCGAAGCAGCGACAACAGAAACATTCATTAGGGGAAAGTGCACTGCCAACATCCGTTTGCAGGTTAGATAGCTAATTAGCTGCTCAGCTGAAGCACATTAAACAGCATGTGAACACACTTGAAAATGTTTCTTTGGTCCAGTTATAGATGGTTGGTGTGGCCCTAGCTCTTCAAAACCCCTTTATGCTGTCCACCCTTGACAGAAAGGCTGCCGTGCAAGTTTGTTTACTTTATCGCACCTTCCCTACCAACCAGTGGCTGTCAATCAGACACAGAAAGTCTAGTCGCCTGAGTTTAAAAAGGAGCATTTCTGATAATTCATCAAAGATCTTATTTTTTGCTCTTTAGTACATAGCATATCAAAAAACACATTTTGTTTAAATGCAAAACAGCATTAAATTAAGATGGTTTAACTAATTTATGCACCAAAATAACATTGCTTTTCTGCTTATTTAGCAACAGGACATGATATTTACAATAAACCTATACTTAGTAACAAGGACATACTGAACTGGTGCTGGACGTCTGTTAATATAATCAAGCAAAAATTCTTTAATTTCAAACAAAAATTGGAAAATAACTCCCTCGACCAAAAACATGAAATTACAACAATAAAACCAACAACTTGCAAACCAGTGATTTGTGCATGTGTATTGGTATTTTCCTTTTTTGATAGCATGTCCTTTTGTTTATAGTTCTTTCTGCTTCCTTCTGACTGATCAGACTTTTGCCCTCACTGTCTGCTTTGCAGTTATGCTGCCAGCTCTTTTGTTGCGCTGCCTGACTTTTTGCTCGCAGTTATGGCACAAACCACTTGTGTGGGCTACATGTTTTTGAGTGGGATGCCCCCATTTTGTTGCTTCTAACTTTTTCTCTTGAGTGATTGATTCACATGTACATATAGCTGGAATCACAGTCCATCTGTTGTCAGCAGCTTGCAAATGACCTGGAAGTGACTGCTGATTAACAAATAGTCTTCCTGACCTGTGTTTCGTTGTTTTGTTGTCTAACCAGAAAAAAAAAGAAAAACGTACATGAGAATAGCTTTTTTGTGAATTTGTGAATTTATGTGAGCACAGACAAGACGAGCAAAGCAAAAAGATCTGAAGGATTGACACTGGAACAATGCAAATACTGAGCTATCACTCAAAATCTCATTAGCCAATCGGGATGCACCCTGAAAACAAATGCTCGTGTGAGAGGTTTGTGTGAGAACTGCAAACAAGAAGTCCAGCAGCACACAGAGCTGTCAGTATAAATGCACAGTGAGGGTAAAAGTCTGATCAGTGGGAAAAAAAGCAGGGGGAAATACTAACAAAAATACATAAAACCTATTTATTTTACATGTAATTGTTTTGTTATTTCACATATGTAAGTGTTTTGTTGTAGTAATAAAACATGTTTACTCCTGTAACCACTGTCTCCTTCACAGTCTCCTCCATATTGACAAAACCGTGCACTTTAAGGAGGCTTCTTTGCATTTGCAATGCCTCTGGCAGCATTTCATGTAACCACAACTTAAGAGTTCAAGGACAGACTGGCTTGCCCGTGGAACAGTTGACCACAATGCTCTCCGGTCGCTAGGGTCCAAATACTTTATTTGATAGTCGACATTTCTGCAAGGTTCCCGGCCAAAAAGCGATGGTTTGTTTTCAGCGACAAAACAATCAAACAGCATCTGTTAATTCACCCTTAAGTATGCATCCGGACAGTTTAGGTTGTTGTTTATGGTTGTATTGGACATCATCTTTTTTTTTCTTCCTGTTATCAGACTCAGTTCAGGAGGTGTGGTACAATATACACAATATTACTTTGACTGAAAATAGCTAAAAAAAATAAAAAACTCACTGTCATAGATCTTTGTGTCTAACTGTATGTGTTTGTGTATATGTATTTTACTACAGCTAAAGGACACTAAGTCAGCAGACCAAAAGACCACATTACTCCACTTCCTGGCTCAAGTATGTGAGGAGGAATTTCCAGATGTGATCAAATTTGTTGACGACCTGGAGCACGTGGATCGAGCTAGCAGAGGTACGTCATAAGCCAAACGAATAATTCACACACTTGCATAAACTGACTTGAACAGATTTGGCATCCAAAGGGACAATAACAAGCTTTGCTGATTACCTGCACATTGGCATTCTTTTTAAGCATGCAAGGATCACTACTCACATTGCTGCTTGATCATTTTAACCATGCGATTTACCTCTCACTTTTTTCTGAGACGATATCACAGTGTGACTATTGCTGTTATTTTTGGTCTCATGCTGGTGTCAACTTAAGTTCTTTAGCTCTCCCAGGATAAAGTTTCATCCGCTCTTCAAATCAACATCCCTGGTGATTACCAGCAGGGCTTTGTCAGCTGGTCTTATAATTGTGAGTTATTAGTAATCAAATAGTTAGGACTTTTTAGCAAACAAAAGGCATGCAAAAAAACCCCAAACTTTGTTGTTTTGTTCAACCCCCCCACCCCCCCACCCCGCTCTCTGTATTGCAGCTCTGTGTGAAAAATGCTGTCTGAGCCAACCTTTTTAGCTTTGAATTAAATGAGAAAAGCCTTTTATGTTATCATCTGCTCAGCATGTTGTTTAGGAAACTGTGGACATTATTAAATCTGAAAGCTGAATAATATTTTAGAAATTTAGAAAGACTGCTCTGGCCTCATGGTTGATGGTGGCCATTAGGCACCATCGTCTGACATAGAAGGTATGGACAATAGCAGTTTTAAATAATGGGAGTGCTGTGCCTAATGAAAACATAATGAAATATGTGGGTTGTACAGTCATACAATCACTGATATCATGAACCTTATCACATTTTAACACTGACTAATTACAGATCAGCTATGTTTAACCAGTGGGATCCATCAGCATCCCCACGAAACAAAATACTTTATGTTAGCTCATGCAAAGTAATCACGTTAGTAATAGAGGAGAGAAAGTAATAATGTCCATCACAGTGAGTTACATCCAGCATTAAAATCAGATTCAGTCACCACAAGCGTGATTACATTATATTACAGTGCATTATATTTTAGTCATATCAATACATATTAAATTGTATTGTGTGTATTTGAGCAGCAGTGAGAGTCTAATGCACAAACAGAACAGCCTACAAAGAGAGAGACAGAAATGGGACATTCTTCCTCTGCATTCCTTTGTTTTACTCTGAGCTTTACTTTTACCTTTCTACTTTTGTACCTCTCTGGGGATTGTTCTGGAATTAGATGCTTGTTGATTCTGTAAACATACATTGTATTTTATTGTTCTCATGTTTGATCTATGCTACAACTCACTTCATCCGCGCAGCTGTTTGATACTAACATTAATCTGTTGCACATTTACAAGTAAAAGGTTTGTTTTTCAAGCAAATGCTTCGGGTCATGTCTGCGATTGAGATGAAGAACATTAGTCTTTTTGATTGTATTTCAAGTAACTGTGTTGGTTTTAACACAAATTGACTGCTTTTTTTTTTGCACAGTTATGCACGCAGACGTGGTTGCACATAGGGTGTAGTCAGTGCATCTAGAGAATGGTAAAGGTCACAGGCAAGCAGGGGCAGACTGGGTGGTCAGAGCAGACTCAGACACCTCTCAGAAAGAAGCAGTGAGCCACAGTCTGTGCACAGTTTATGTTTGCGTGCGTGAGGTCGAACTTTCACAGCATGTTTCCCACTGCTCCAAAGATGATTTTACCCATTGCTCCGTTCCCACTAGGAGGGAGTGAAGGAAAGAGTGAGGAGGAGAAAACATAGAGGGATGAATTGTGTGACTTTATTGTTCGGACTCTTGCTGTCATGAGGACTCCTCCAGCTGTTTTTTTTTTTTTTTTTCTTCCTCTTCTTTTGGTACTTTGATAATCTGTAGATAACGATGCTCCTGTCGAGTGTTTCATTTTTCCCAACTGTGCTGCATGTCCGCAAGCCCTTGGCCAAGGCTCATAAGTACAAGGGTGAGATCAATGGAAAGCGCAATCCTTGGATCTTTCTTCAGGCTTTGTCCACCTCCTTACTTCACAGACCTCAAGCTGAGTATATTTGCATCTATATAGATGTAGTGCTCTTTCTCCGTCACACTTTTTTCTCTGTGTTATTTTACCATTATGAGATGCATACACTAAGTGTCTATCTCTCCATATCTGGTATTAAGACACACAAATCCAATTTCTTTGTGAACCAAGCTGTTGAGTGGCTTCTTTTTCATTAAGCCTGACAGCCATTTGAGAGGCCTGTAGACACACTAAAAGGCTGCATTACATTCAGAGACACTAACCAAAGGGCTTACTTGAGCATGAAAACAAGGTTGGGTAGAGGTAGCAGTAATAATTTGCGTTTCTGTTGTAAAAGCCGCTGTCTTTTGACTGCGTGTAACACAGGCCCTCGTTTCCCCCCCCTCTGCCAATGCTGTTTCTCGTGGAAGCCAAACTGTAGTTTAGTTCAGGGCTCCTTTGTGCCTGTCTTCTTATTTTTGCCCCCTCTCTCTTCTTTTCAGCTCCACAATCATTATTTCTCCTGACATTGAGAAGCACTCTTTCTCTGCTGCTTCTCTCTGTCATTTTCCATGTATCTATTTATCTGTCTGTCTGCATCTACAGTCTGTGTTGGTGTGTCTTTCTTGCTCTCTGTCCCATTTCTCTTTCTTTTGTCCCTCGTTACAAACACACACGCACACAGGTGTAATAGACAGCGAGCAGGTTTGGGCAATTAGGGTGGTTTGTTGAGTGGTACTTGGTGCTGATTTTTATGTTGGAAGCAGACAAATACAGAGACATATTAATGTGCTCAACTAGGCTACTTCAGCTTGTAACTTATAATACCATCTGTTGGCAGCAGAACCGCCGCTTGCTTGCTTGCTGTGCCTAATGCTAAACTGACATTCCTGCATAAATGTTATTATGCAGGAAAGATGGAAGGGCTGTTGTGGTTCAGCTCCTTTTCAAGCCTTGTGGCCTTGAGCAGTCATTAAGGAGTAATGGGAGGGTTCAACTACACTGAGATGGCTCTCTATATGGTTCAAGCTTTGTTTTGTAGTTTTGCCACATGCAGTCTGAGCAATGAGCCCCAGGTTGAAAGTATATAGAATGAGCACTCCACACTGCAATCCACTGACTGTCATGCTCTTTGGGGATGTAGTACTGTAGGTGCTCAGCATGTTGAATGTGTGCACTAGGGTTTCCTACAGGCCTCCTATTCCCAGCCTCGAGCACCATCAGTCTAGTCACACTTGTCTGTCAGGCTTTGGCCTCACAAGGCAGATCTGCATTTTTCCCCACTCTCTTTAATTTCCATACATCAAAGGATGATCTATTGTGGAGGTCCGTACGTAGCGGTGCTGTTTGTGAGTAGGCATGGTTGTGTGCTCCATTCAGTCTCATTTATAGCACAGCAGGTTGGCAGAGTAATAAAAGGATGTCAATGGGGGATTTGACCTCTGCAAATATTCCAATTATTATTCTTCTAAAACATCCTATATCTGTCTGCAACCCCTCTGGACCACAGAGACATTCGCTGCTCATAAAAAATCACTCACGCTTTAACGCACAGAAAGAGAAAGCAAAAGCAGGGCTACCAGAGAGAACGAGGAAGACATGGAAACACCCTTTTATATTTTTATCTCCCACTTTGCTTGTCACTTCACCCCTGAGCGATTATTTCACGATTTCTAAGTTGTACGTAGCAGGTGTGTTTATGTAGAGCATCAATAACATCTGTTTCGAAATGCATTTCTGTGTTTCGCAAAACATAACAGCTGTTACATACACTTCAGAACAATCCCCTGCAAATATTCTTTTGAAGCCTCTTTTTTTGTCACCTTTGTGACAACTCATGTTCATGTGCCCTTCCACGTGAGGGAGTCTCATGACAAAAGCTTGGAGATTGGAATGTAAAGCAATGAAAAGAAGGGATTCCTCACTGTTTTGGTGTTTGTCATGTCTTCCCTTACCCGTTTCTCAGTCGCCGCACCAACTCTGGGCTGTAATTATTTCTATTAACAGACTGCTGGTCTGGCCTTCTCTGCAGGCTGCCCACACCTTATTCAGCTGAATTCAGTTGCTTGGTAATGCAGAGGGCTTTGAGGGGAAAAAAGAGAAAGATTGAAATGGAAATTATACGGCTGGTGTAGCGTCAGATTTTGATAGTTTGCTACAAGTTTGGACTATTTTTTTATTTATTTTTTTATCATTACTAATCAAGGGAATCATTAATTGTTATTTATTTATTTGTTTTTGGTCAAATACTTCCAGTTGTTTTATTGGCATTTATAGAATCCAAAGATTTCTATAAAAAAAAACTCATAGGGAGAACTGTCTTTACTTTTGAGACTTCATCCCAATGAGCTAAAGCAAAAAACTTATTTCTAATGTTTTTTATATAGACTTGCATATTGTTTTTTAAATTTAAAACCAACTGGCATTTCATTCATTGTACTACCTTTGTAATTTAACTTTAATAAGTTAGCGTCATGTGAGGTATAAGCAATTTCATGACTTTTAGTTTTTATTTGAGTCAGAAATGCATTTTCTTTCTTTTTTTTTCTCTCTTTCTTTCTTTTTTTTTATTACATCCACTTAAGACACATATCTTATACTTTACAAATTACCAGTACAGATTGGCTGCTTAGCCCAGAGGGAATCGTCATTATTGACAATTTACACATGGTCACAGGTAAATGCACGGTGATTGAAGGATATAAAACAGTTTCCAATCCAATAAAATATAGTGCATTAGTAAAACCTATGGCCAGTTTAATAAATAAAGCATATAGTTAACTTTGCTTTAAGATTTAATTGACTGATATCGATTAATAATAAAAACTTTACCTGAGTCTGTATTCCCATGATTTTTAAACATTTCGTCCTAATTGCTTCCTATAAATATATGTGTGAGAATTTTTTTTCCACATATCACGTCTTCTGGATGGAAACATTAACCCCTTCTTAAACAGATCTCTGCTTTCTGTTTTTGTTTTTTCTTTCTTTTTTAAAATTATTTTTTTTACAACGTGATTTCTTACTAAAGATAAAAATCTATGTAACAGCCAGCCAGTGCAGAGAGGTTGTTCAGTAAACACTGCTCTGATTGAGACATCGTTGGTCACAATGTACTCTGTGACAGGATTTTTAAAGGAACGTTGTGTAGTGACATTTTTAGTACCTTTGACTGACTGTTGGTGTCAGTGTAGTCGGGGAAGGAGTGCAGAAAAAAAAAGCAAGGAGAAAGAACACAAATTGCTTAGAACATAAAAATCCTGCATTGAGGACAAAGTAAAACATGCAATGAGCACAACTGATGTGATAATCATTTGACAGGTAAACATGCAGTATATGTAGTGTAGGCTGTGTGATGTGGTGTTTTTCCTTGTTGTTGCTGCAGTGTCAACAGTCTTTTTTTTTCTATTCTTTTTTTACAAACAGCGGTGACAATAGAATTAAAGGTGCCACCTGCCTTTTTCCTTTTTACCAGCTAGAAGCACAAATGTGTGTGTGTTTTTTTTTTTTTTTGTCGCTTTTAACTGCCGTAAAAAGACCATATTCCCTTAAATTTCAAATTTAAAGAGAAAATTGTACAACTTCAGCTACTGCAGACTTTTTAGAATATCAAGATGTCTGAGTGAAGTATGTGTGTGTCTCTCTTAAGACAGTATGTCTAAGACAGTATGTTCCCATCAGTAAATGGGGTTTATGCTATAAATTCAGTGAGAAGCTTAGCTACACTGAAGTTCTTTCTTCGTTTTTTTTTTTTTTTTTCTTTTCGTAAAGCATGTCTTAGGATCAAGGGAAATTTAAAACTACTTAAAATTAAGCAGCTTATGCCTTTTTGTCAAGTAGGGTCTAATCGGGGTAATTTAAGCCATATGCTATATTCAATGACTAGCTTAAAGTGTCAGCCATGACCAACTTAACAGAAAGTTAGGATCAGTGTTTCCCTGCTCTCCATTTGCATGTTCCGAGCACCTGTTGATATAACCGCAGTCAAAGGATGAAAGACGGAGAAAGATTTTGACTTCAACGGCAGTCTCCATACCTTGAGGCTGCAGCTTGTGTTTGTGTCTGTTGCTGTGTTTGCTACTGTGAAGCCGCATGTATACTGTAAATATATGAGCAAACATAGCAATCATTTGCTTTCACCGCGATGTGACAGTAAGGCCATTGCATTTTTGGATTAATTTAATTGTTGCCGCATACACAGGAACATAAGGCAAACAGAATAATGAAAAGCTATGTACTGAACATACTTGGACTTGATGTTTATATTTTCCCAGTCATTGTTTATTCCCATGGCGTTGCTGGCGAAGTGAGAACCCATAATAAGCAAGCTTTGCAATTGAGTTGGCTTCTCTTTCATTTTTCTCTGTCATTTATTTATTTTTTTTGCATGTGGTTTTTCTCAGATTCTTTCACAACCTCAAAATAATAATGCATTTGATTATACCTGTAATTGAGCAGTGCTCTCTCTTTTTCTTTCTTTCACATCTACGTGGATGCGTTTCTATGTGCTTTTACGAATGTATGTGTCCCTGAATATATGTGGGTGTGTTTCAGTGTCTGCAGAGAATCTGGAAAAGAGCCTCAGGCAGATGGAGAGGCAGCTGCTGCAGCTGGAGAGAGACCTGGAGACTTTCTCTTCCCCCGATGACCCAAACGACATGTTTTTCACCAAAATGGCTATATCCTTTACACGTATATGCATACACTGCACCGCTCAAGGGCAATATTCAGTGAGTTTACTGTAATGAATCAAACAGAACAAAAGTTTGAAGAATATTACTGAAAGGGAATTGATCTTGATGTTTTTCACTTGCAGTAGAGCAGGTTTTCTACCTAAATAACTTCAGCTGAACTTCTGATATACAAGGAAGAAACTTTCAAATCTTGGTCAAATACCACCCAAACACATGTCCTTTACCTTTGCAATATTGTATTTGTTTCTATCATCTTTGGCTGTGACACTCCCTCCTCAGTTTTGTTTGTTTGTTTTGCTATTTTTTGCATTGAAAATTTTGAGCTATAAAAGTGATTCTACCCTTCTCCCTCCGAATTAAAGTTCCAGCATTTTTCATACACAAGAACTATCCTCACACACCTTTTTGGGATCACTCAAGAAAATAAACACATGTAATATTGTGTTTAAACACGAATGAAAAGGTGAAGCGATGATGTGTCGTCTTCCCACCTTTGGTCACCCTTGGTTTCCTTCCTGCTGTCAGTGATGTGCACAAGTGATGACTGGCATCCCATTCCATAGTCAGGTTATTGCACCAGCACACCTCTCAGCTCTTTTTTGAAGGGTACTTAAAACTGAGGGTAACTTCAGAATGAAGGGAAGGGTTTTGTGAGGGAGAATTACGATGGCTTGACTTTCTGTCATTCTCTTTTACTCTCACAGTGTCAGTCACTGTTGCTCTTTATTGCTGAAGACAGAACAAGACCAGTTTGTTAGGTTTTTACTGATTTGTCATTTAATAATAAAACAAAAATGCTAAAGTAGAGGCACACAAAAGCACAACTTACTTTATACCATTTCACTGCCCATTTGGGATATCTTGTGCCATTTCTGACAGCTGTCTATATTTGTTTGACAGCAGTAAATTATTTAATGTCTTCTGAGGTAGCGCTAGAGGATCAGGTTGACAGGTATGTCTCAGGCCAGGTGCGTAAGTGTGTGTTCAATAATACACCCTGTACCTAGCCCCCTTCATGTAGTTTTGATCAATAGCCTAGGGGCTGGGGCACTGATGGCTTGTGCTGTAGTAGTTAGCTGAGAACTTGAGTGCAACACAGAAAGGCTCACTGAGAATGGATTTGACAGCGCTGTCTTTTTTCTGCTCTGCTTTACAATTCCAGGTGCCTTGCACAAAGTGTCTTAGCACTGATTAAAACCTCCATGAAATATAATGTAGGTGAGCAACTTAAGTGAATAACTGAGCGTCAAGGTTCTCATTTTTACAACAGACAGCCAGCAAAACCAGAAAGTCAGCTAGACGTAAACAAGCTGTCTGGGCTTAGCTATAACACATGCTATATTCAAATTTTGTGCTTTAGGCTGCTCAGAGGTTCTATTTACTCTGAAGCCACCCATATGGGAACCTCATATTTTTTTGGTTCTTTAGTGATGCCAGACTTTAAAATCTACCACATATTTATCATTTTGATGTTTAGAATAGTAACTTCCAAAACTGCTTTTCTTACTATTCTGAGGCCAATTCTTTTCCTAATCTACCTATAAATATGCTAAACCATGTTTTTATATTAAAGCTCTGACAGTGATTGTGACTGTACCATTTTTCACTCGTGAATACATTATTATTACCTTATATTTATGTTGACTCCCAGTCATCCAGGACATGGAATGTCTAAGAGTACTTGGTGAAAGCCAAAGGCAAGGGCATTTGCTGTTTTGTTGTTGAAGATGTTTCACTGCTCTTTCTGTAGAAGCCTCTTGAAAAATGATACAATCATGTTAAGAATATATACATGGCAGCTGCACCAGCAGCTGATGAAGTTTGCTGGTGACAGTCATTATTTTGATCAGTGAAACCCACAGTCAGCAGCCCAACATGAGAAGCTGAGAGTGTCACATTGGTGACACTGAAAATTCCATTTTCACTTCATGCGCCTGTTACTGTTACTCTGTTATTGGTCTAGTGTTACACTTCTGAATCTGCACCAAGCTTGTAAAGGTAGCAGATTAGAACAGGGGGAGAATCGGGCGAATAATGAGCAAATGAAGAAAGGGAGAATGAAATATGATGGAACAGAGGAGGTGAAAGAGAATTCTTGAGAATGGGCTGCAGTGGACCATGCTTTCTCTGGAATGGGGATGAAGTCTAGAGAAGGGGAACAAGAGGACAGATATTTCACACCCCACGATACTTATCAACCACAGCTCTTAGCCATTTTTTCTTTTCTCTCGCTCGCTCTCTCTCCCTCTCTCTCTCTCTCTCTGCTTTCTGTCACCCGCTTAGACTTTCCTCATGCTTCTTTCCCTCAGCTCCTGGCTTGGAAAGATATTACTGACAAGTCAATCTGGGAGGAGTGCCTATTGAACAGCATTTACCCAGCTGTGAATAGGTAGTCCCATCCCCAGCCAGATTCAGCTGAGGCCAAACCTCAAATAGGTCCATCAATTGAGCTATAATGAAGGGGCACAATAGGAGCCAGAGAGGCTGCCCACATGCTTGTGTGGTACCACACACACGCAGACACCGTTGCCTCTTATCTGCCGTAAGACGACGGTACTACAACCATTAGCAGGACTGATGGTTAGGGACCACAGTCTATATTAAGGACGCATCATTTTCTGTAATTTTTCACAGAAAATTACCCGCACATTTAATATAAAGATACAATAAAGATTGGTTCAGAGTGATTTCAACTTAGATTGAGTTTTTTCATACAGCAGAGGCTTTGAATTATATTAAACAAGGTCAGCATGTGGAAAAGACAGACAAGGATACACCTTTGAAAACGGAATAATAAAAAATTGAGAGGAACTAATAAAATAGCTAACCTCAGAAGCAAATCCATGCTTCCTGGATTTCCACGTGTATGTGTGGCGGCTGGCAGCAGACTTGCTTGACTGTGCTGTACGCCCTGGTGGTTAGCAAGGTGCGTTTTAGTGTTCTCACGTTCCGCCACACTTTGCTCTGACACTGACACCTCTCCGGCACATGTTGACACAACCATTACCTGTTTGTCCTCGTCCACAGACACACAAATGTACTGACATAGCAGAGCTGCACTTTGCTTTTCTTTAGCCACGAGAACCTTGTAATGCTCTTTAGTTTTACATACTTGTCATTTTTGATGCAGATGAAGGGACAGGCGATATTAAAATCTGCAATATTTGACAGATCTCTATTTGCTGAAGGATTCATCCATTTCTGTGAGGCCAGCACTTGACACTGGTCTTGGAGCATTTTGAGGTGCGAGGACATGCTGTTACCTAGAAATTACAGGCAGAGGAAGACTGAGTCTGTGCTTTCTTCTGCATTTGGAACAGAGCCAGTGCCGAGAGCACAGTTACATGCAAATGCGCTGTTATCTGCTGTTTACATAACTGGGAAATACTTTTCAGTAAGTTAGAATCTGATTGGTTTGCCTCCAAAATGACAGTGGCAGATTGGTTTGAAGTTAAAATAATCTGAACTTTGAGCTCAGGTAAAGGGTTAGCAGTCCTGAGAATTTTGTTTGTGTTGTTTTTAGAGCGGAATACAACACTTTTTCTTTGTTTGTGTTTATGTTTACAGTTAATACTGTGCATGTCAGGTTCATTGACACACTTTGCCAGCAGCTAGACATGTATCATAGATGCTGTAGACTGCAGAGGAGTGAACACACTTTAGCAGTAACCTGACAGACACCATCAAAGCTCTTAATGCGGACATCACAGGTTACCACTGACTGATTCCCAGCTTTCAGATCCTTACGAAAACAGGAGGGAATGCTCTCCCCTTTTGCTGTCAAGTTAGGGAGGGCTCGCATCAGACTTTAATAGATACTTATTGCATGATGAATGTATTGTTGACCTTGACCACAACCCTCACAGCTTCAGCAAAGTCGCACGGGAGCAGTATGGCAAGCTGGTAATTATGCACAGCAATATGGAGACGCTGTATCAGAATGTGCTGGAGTACTTTGCTGTCGATCCTAAGAAGACCTCTGTGGAGGAGCTGTTCACTGATCTCAGCAACTTCCGTTCCATGTTCACAGTGAGTATACTGCACTGTAGATTGACACTATAGAGAATCACTGAGTTTGTTGTCCAGCTATTTCAAAATCCTCCAGTAAATTGGGTGATCGATGGTTGACCAGTCGGTTCTCAGTGGGACTGGCAGAACTTTTAAATTACCAAGGATAATGTGATTACATTTTAACATAAAAAGAATGAAGCAACCTTAATCATATGTTAGAATGTTTATCAGAAATATGTTTATTTGCGGGCTGGATCGATGGTTAGCACCGTTGCCTCGTAGCAAGAAGGTCGCTGGTTTGTGTCCTTGTGGGGACACTCGGAATCTTTCTGCGTGGAATTTGCATGTTCTCCCCGTGCAGCATGGGTTCTCTCCAGGTTTTCCGGCTTCCTCCCACACAGTCCAAAAACATGTTGAGGTTAATTGGTGATTCTAAATTGTCCGTAGGTGTAAATGTGAGTGTCCTTGGTTGTCTGTCTCTAAGTGTAGCCCTGTGATAGACTGGTGACCTGTCCAGGGTGTCCCCTGCCTTCACCCTGAATCAACTGGGATGGGCTCCAGCCCCCCACGACCCTAGTGAGGATTAAGCAGTGTATAGATAATGGATGGATGGATGTTAATTTGCTGGCAGAAATTTTGGAACAGTAATACATTAAGCTACCACGCTTATTAATGAGGAGATCACAGCGAACGTTGGTTCATAATGCTATGTATTCTTCTAAACCCAAAGTGTGTTTTTGTTCTTTTTTCGTTTTTTTTTTGCTTCTGTCACATTTTCATTCACTGCTGGTCCTGCACAACCGTGGCTTAAAGTAGAGGGAACTCAACAATGGCTTCATGCCATATATCATAGAAAAGACAGAATGTGTTTGATTATTTATTTTACAAAGTTTAAAAACAAGAACAAAAATGGAATCAACATCTATAATATTTTTCAAAAGGTGTTTTAAATATAGTGGGGGAAATGGCTGTTGACATACTATAGATCCTTTACTTCTTAGGTTTTTAATTTGTTTCCATATTTGTCACCTATCTGCAAACACAGTCCCTGAAAATTAAGTCCTTGCATTTTTGTCCTCTGACTGTTGGCCACATCAGTTATAGCTTCCTGGTTGCACCAAGGAGTGGAGGATTTCTTTTATTTTATTTCTTTTTTACAGAATCTAGTTTTATCAAATTATTTATTTATTTTTTATTTTATTTTATTTTTTGTAATGAGGCATGTAGAATGAAGTCTTTTAAATGAAATATTATAAATGTAAGCTGAGATTTGGTTGATTTTCCCAAATGAAAGGCATATCACACATGATTAGTTCAAGGACCACGAAAGGTTCAAAATCCAACTATTCTCTCTGTTTTTTTTTTTTTTCTTTTCCTTCTTCTCTGCCTCTAATAAATGCTGTAATTTTATCAATTTTGTAAAGACACCATGTTCTTTAAACCTGCTATTGGATTTAGGGGTTCAGAGGTTTAAAGGCGTTAGCTTGGAACTTTAGATGTATTTGCATGCTGTGTCTTTTATCTCCAAAAGATATTAGAAAATATTTTTTGATTCTGCTTTACTACTTTCAAATTTATGAACGTGGCCATCAAAAGCTGACCTTTAACAGCATCAAACTATTTAATAAGTTGGATTCATTTGTTGTGCAGCCTTGTCTGTGAGCCTTGTCCCTCCCAGTGAAAGACCTAACCTTGGAGTGATGGCATTCAGGCAGGTGTTTTGATATTTGCTGGACAAGATGGCATTTAGTCTTGACTAAAAAAAAAAACCCCAAAAAACACTAGTATAATTTTTTTGAGAAAAGCAGCAGTCAGTCCCAAAAATTGTAGCTATTTGGAAACTTTATTCAACTTTTGCTGCTTTTTTTAATTGGCTGTATTAAGATAGAACCCGTGGCTCTTTTTTGTCATTGTCACATCACTGGCCTGTGGTATAATGCAAAGCATAACAGTGCCAGTCCTGTGTAGTCCAGCCCCACCCAGACATTTATGTCATCACTGAGCTCTGTGGCCTTATCAGTCTGGTACGACTGCGAGCTGTGGAGCTGCGGAAACCCACTGTGTTTAATCAGCAGGATTAGTGGCACAGGCCACTGGGCGCAACAGATAATAGTAGCTAATTAGCCTACTAAAGTTCTTGCCCTGCCCCCAACTTAACATCTACCACACACACATAAATGGATTTCATGCCTCTTCCTTTTTCTTTTTTTCCCCTGCATAGTCATTTATTGTACTTTCTTGTACTCCAAAGCTCTGTCTGTAAAAACACGAGAGTTTTGATCACATCTAATTCCTGGCTCAGAAATATGATAGTATCCAAAAAAAAAAAAGAAACTCACCTGCAATGTAAAACTGCTATCCACAAGATCACATTTTTGGGTGATTTCATTATGATACAATCTTGTAAATGAATCTGAAATCTGTCTTTCTTTCCTTGCTGCCTCTCTGCCTGAAAGATACAACTTCTTGTCTATTGTTCACAAACCCTACATAAGGCCTAAAGAAAAGCTTTCAAACACTTTTAAATAGATTCACAGCTAACTATTTGATGCCATCTGTTTTGCCCTCCTCTCTTTTTTTTCCCAAATTCACACTCTAATGCTTAGTTTCCACACATTGTTATGCTGTCTGCTGTACGTGGCATCTGTGACTGAAGTAACTAGAGTGTCTGCACAGTCTTCACAGACCCCAGAAAACAGTCTGGGGAAAAAAAAAAAAAACGTTCCCAGGTGCATTGCTTCTAGTCTGGCCGCTCTTTGTTTCTTATTTTTCATACCTATTCCATTGATCCCAGAACTTCTCTGTGCTGTAATCCTTGCCACACTTAAATAGCCACAACCCAAGTCACCACGAGCTGTGTTCAGAGATGAATCAGACCCAGAGTGAATGATATGAACCTTAGTACATTCCATGCATTTATTATTTATTATTGCCAAATAATAATAAGAAATGTAAATGTTATTATTATTATTATTATTATTATTATAGCTGCGATCCCTTTCGTTGTTTCTCTTTGGTTCAGGTTAATGTTTCCCAGTTTTTATGTTCTTGCCAAACATAACAGTTAATGACTCTGCCACGGAAAGGTGAACAAGCCAAGTGTTGTAAAGGCTAGCATTATATGGTCAAAACTCCCAAGGTAGCTATTTATTCCCCTGTGATAGGTCAAGGCGTAACCAACTTACACCCTCAGCAATTCGTTCAAATGGTCACATCACACAGACATATCCTGGGAAAAGCCAAGGCTAGGTCAATGAACGAAGGCATACAGTAAATCTGAGCATCGTAACCTCTCGGTCAAATCTGTGTCAGCATTTACCCTGTTGTGCCAAGGCCCATGCTAATAGGTGCGTGCTGTCTCTAGACTCTTGCCCGAGGCCAACGGAGCCTTGAACTGTGCGTATCCCGCTCACATAATGTGCACGCGTGTGTGCATGTTTGTTTGTGTGCATATGTCATTCTGTCTTGGCAATTTTTTGTTTTTTTTTTTTTTTTTTACAGGAAAAGCTGCTTAGTTTTTTCACACACAAAGACGTACACACTCGTGCACACACACACATGCAGCATGCTCAGTCACCCGTAGGAAGGAGACCCAGGGCGAGGCCGCACATCTGACAGGAATCCAATTGAGCGTGTCTAATGGCGGACATCCAGGAGAGGAGGAGGGCGAAGCAGACCTGCAGTGATGAAGGAGAGCGGAGGGCAATTTCCTCAGAGAGCTGGTTCTCTCTCTCTCTTTCTCTCTGCCTCTGTCTGTCTCTCGCTCTCTACCACTCTTCCCCCTCATCTCAATACTACAGTAAAAATGAATGTTTTGTCAGGAGACAAAAATCTTTTCATTTTTTTTCAGGCTGCCAACGTCATGTGACGATTTAGAGTGATCTCCTCTTAAACAGGCACACTTGCTGTATTGACCCGTTATTGACTAATCATTGTTTTCCCATATTGCTGGCAGCAAGGGTCCAGTTTTGAAGGGTCCACTTTTAAAAAAGACATCAATTTGCCTCTGCACACTTCCTCAGTGGATGTGCATAGTCATATTACTGAAACAATCTGCTGCTAATTTTTGTCCACTGTTTGATGGATGGCAATGAAATTCTACACACACATCCATGGTCCCAAGAGGATGAAGCTGACTCTCCCTGGTAGCGTCTCTATGAGGTTTAAGTTGAAATATCTCCACAACTGTTTAATAGATTTTAATGAAGTTGGCAACAAAAATAAGTCCGAGGAGGATGAATCCTGATGACCAAATTTTCCCCAAGTGTATATGTATTAAGTAAAATATATGTTTCTACTCGCGGTTGATAGATTGGCACCAAATTTTGTCTAAACATTGCGTTTCCCAGACAATCCATCACTTGTAATATATGAGTATTGTGAACCCAAGGCTTTTACTCAAGCATGACAAGCAGGTTGATAACTTTAGTTTGTTGTTTAAATACACTAAACTTTTGTATAGGTTGTTGTGAAATGTGCTGCAGAAATCAATAGTGACTTCTGAATGTCATTTACATTATGTGTCTGTGGAGTATCTGGTTGGTTTGCCCCTTAGTTGACAATAGACAAACTTTTTATATGTTTTAAAAACTTGTTAACATATATGTTAAAAGCAACTGAAAATATGATCTATAAAGCTATTGTCAATGATGATGATTTTACCACTGACTACATTTTGAAGTTATATGAATTTAGGGTGCCAACGGCTCTGTTTGATTAATATAGTACAAACATGTTTACTTTCTGTTTTAGTAATTGAATTTTACTTTTTAATAAGCAAGCTGCTTGATAGTGAGGAGAGGATTGAGCGTCAGAGTTTTGAAGAAGTTGAAATTAGGCATCCATCATAGCTGTCTACTTGTGACCTGAGATCACTTAATTGTTCCTTCCTGAAAATGTATTCTGTGTTGGTAATCTTGTTCTTTTCTTTTCTTTTTTCCTCATTTCCTGTGCCCCTAATTACCAGATTGGATGCCCATTAAGAATCGAGTCATTTGCGAATCAGTGGTTGCCATGAGCAACCGACAGTCATTCCATCAAATTAAAGTTAATTTTGTGGAGTAGTTGGTTTCATTTAAAAATAGTTTAAAAAGAGAGCTCTGAATAGCTTTAGTCTCAGTCATTTTGTATTCCTCCTCCCCCTCTCCTTTTCTTCAATGCTCTCGTCTCCTGAATTCCTATAAGCCTGCTGAGTGGTGCTCATCAGTGTTGTTAGCTACTATTGTCTTTTTATGTGAGCGAGTTAAATGTGGATTCAGAAAGTTTTCAGACCCCTTCACGTTTGCACTCTTCATTGTGTTGTACACTTCTAGTGTGCACTCAAGAACTTATAATGAAGATGTGAAAATGTGTTTTTAAAAATGTTAAATTTATAACACTCCGATTTTCACATTTATCATTTACAAAAGTATCCTGACCAGTTCGGTGCTTTGTAGAAGCCCCGTTTGGCAGCAATTACAGCTGTCTTTTTGGGTAGGATCTACGAGCTTTGCACACCTGGCTTAGGGCAGTTTATCCTATTCTTCCTGCCAGATTCTCTCAAGCTCTGTCAGATTGGATGGAAAGCATATGTGAACTTCCATCTTCAGGGGTCTCCACAGATCTTGGATGGGTCTTAAGTCTAGGCTTTGGCTCTTCTAGTCAAAGACAGACAGACTTTTCCTGAAGCCACTCAAGCTTTCTCTTGACTGAATGCTTTAGGTCATTGTGAATTGGTCATGTCATGAGCTTTATAGAGCGAACAGTCTTGAAAGATTTATCTGTATTTGGCTTCTTCATCCATCAATATTGACCAGTCACTCTATTTTTGTTGCTGAGAAGCAATCCAATAGAATGATGCTGCCACCACCATACTTCAATGTAATTACCAGGTGATATGCAGTGACTGGTGTTTATCAGGCAAAGTGTTTGGAGTTTTGCCCATAGATTTTCAAATTTGTCTCATTAGCCCAGAGGATATTTTTCTTGATGGTTTCAGCACTTGAAATGCCATTTGGCAGACCCCAAGTATCTTCCATGTAGCTGCTCTACCATAACGGCCTAGTTTTTGGGTTTGGCTGAGATGATCATCCTTGCAGGAGATTCTCCTATCTTTTCAAGAGACTTTCAAAGCTCTGTTAGTTGCTGTTGGGTTCTTGACCAAGCTCTTTTGTTACCCAGTTGCTCAGTTTTGCTGGAGGGCCAACTTTAGTAAGAATGCTAGTGGTTCCACACTTCTCAAGTTTTACAATTATTGAAGCACATCGCTCCTGGAAACACTCAAACCTTTAGAAATTGTTTTATATTGTTGCTCTCATCTGAACTTGCCACAATTTTTAGTTCTACATATAAATTCCTGTGACTTCATGGCTTGGTTTCTGTTCTGACAAAGTGAATTGTGAAACCTCATATGTGCAGACATGAGCAATTCTTCAACATGGTCAATGAAATGACCTTGCCGAAGGTGGATTTTGGTCAAGTTCTAGAAAAAAGAATAAAGAATGAAGCATACAGAATACACCTGATCACAGTTTTTAGGGCCACAGCAAAGGGCCTGTATACTTCTGGAAATCTGAGATCTCAGTTTTAGATTGTATAATGTGTGAACATTTCCAAAAACATACATTCACTTTGTCATTATTTCTTATTGTTTGTCACAATCTCCCTCTGGTCTGTTTATAAATAAGAAACACACACACACACACACACACACACACACACACACACAGATACACCAATTTTTAAAATATCAAGGTTGCAATGTGGGGACAGTAACCATTTCTAGTTTTTGTCTACACATATGCAGCCATACTTGGCCACAGGAGAAAAAAAAAAAGGATTCAAGCATAGGCTAATAGTGGTGGAGCCGTATTATCATGTAAGCTTTGTATACTGCTACACCCCTACTATTACTAATTTACAGTGTTTATTGAAGTTGCAATTTCTCTTTATTTCAAGTGGCTTGTTGATGCTGAATGGTCCACACTGAACTGTTTTGAATTCAAGTTGACTATATAATTTCCAACAATGGTCACTTGTATGCAGACATAATAAGAGGCTGTCAGTGTGCCTCAATAAGTGACTGCCCCTCGTCAGTGTGCCATTGTAATTCTCCATATACTACACAGTTCTAGTGTGTGTCTTTGTGGGCACTCTTTCATGTTGATTTGGCATTACTGTTCTTCCACTGACCTGCCAGTCAAGCTGAGCTGTGTGAATAACACGAGAGGAGAGTAGTTGAAGGGGAGGAGTTGGGTGTTTGATGAAAGCCCAGACGCCTTTGCTTTAAGTGACTGGCTATTGATCAGGATGGCAATCATGCAAGCACTCTATTAAATCATATGCAGTCTGCCTCTTGGCTGTGGCATTATTGAGCTATTGACACCATTGTTGGAGTTTATCAACAGGGGTTCTAGAGCCTGTGCGGAAGGTGGGTGATGTATAGTAGATACTATGCCTATGGAATTATTCTTCATAGACAGACAGGTTGCAGGTAATGACATGACAAGTTTGGAAGTTGGCTTCATCAGTTTGTTTGAATGTCAATATTTAGTGACTGCCAGTGTTAGGTTGCTGTCTCACTGAATTCTGTACAACAACACAAAAAAAAACAGTACAAATGCGAATAGGAGCAGTGATATTTAATATTAGGGATTCTACTCCAGTACTTCTTGGGATATCAGAATGTACTACATCAAGCGCAAGGACACGAACAAGACGTACTGAATAGCCCAGAAACTAAATACCGAAACTGTGTTCTTGTGGTTGATAAGTGGACAGAAGTCTGTTGACATAAAGGTTTTCTCATTGTCCTTGCATATTTAAAGCTTGTTTTTATTGCCCAGTTGTTTGTTCTGATGTAGGTGCATGTATTTATTCAGGATGTAGTGATGTCATAATAATTTTTATCTTGAGCTTTATTTTTTATGTGACGTTTTCTGACTCCAACTACAATTTGTGCTAAAAGATAAGTACTAGATTAAGATATTTATTGTATGGTAATGCCATAATATGTTCTCAAGTTTTAGGCATTCCTATTAGAGTTACAGTTATATAGTAGAATGAAAAATCTATAATAAGCATAAAGACATTTGATTTATAATATGTCCAAGGCAAGACAGTAACTGCAATCATTCAATAATCCGCCCCAAAAATGAAAGTTATACCTGTAAAACCATCAAGATATTCTGATCCTTCTCAATTTAAATGCAAACCTATTACTTGATGTTGGTGTTGTGTAGTCAAATATGTGTTTCTTTGGCAAGCCTCTGCCCACACAGCAGTGCACAGCATCTGCTGTACAGCCAGTTGAATTGTATTGTAATCGCTAAGCAATTCTATCCAACTCACCTGCTCTCACCTGACTTAACAAAGTTCACACATTAGCCACCAGGTGATGCCGAAGCTGTCTCACTGACCCTAACATGCTCTGTGTACACACAGACGCACACACGCACACACACACACACACACACACACACACACAGGGAAAAGTGGCCAGATACCCTCTACATTTTCATACTTTATGTGTTAGTATCACTTTAATCACATTGAAATATTTTCCAACTGTTCGCTAAGGTAATGCCAATAATGTTTATGGGCTCTGCCAAAAAGAGAAAAACTAAAGAAAACAAGCAAAATATTGAAACTGAGCTTTAACCATTCCCAGAATATGTTATAAATAGGTTAAAACAAAAACAGCAACAAACATTAGAAGAGAAAAAAAAATGTTTATGAACAAATCACACGGACCGGAGTCGCAGTGCACCTTAGAAGCTTCGTCTGACTTTAATGGTGCCTGATAAAGATGTCTGTAAGGTTTGACAGCTGCCTCTGCCTTTGATAGGCTCTACACTACTGTAATTAACCCCACTTAGCAATCCGTCATGTTTTTTCTCTCTGTCTTTTTCTTACTTTTTCCCTCGCTCCCCTACAGCAAGCACTGAAGGAGAACTTCAGGCAGAGGGAGACGGAGGAGAAACAGAGGAGAGCACGGGCAGCAAAAGAGAAGGCTGAACGGGAAAAGAAGGAGAGACAGCAGAAGAAGAGGAGGTTGCTGGAAGTCAATGCAGGTAGAGACTGTTCAATTTGCTTTGCCTGTCAACTCTTGCAAAGATAAGCTCTTTACAGAGAGCTGTACGCTAAATCAATCTTGGGTCAATTGGTGTAAAAGATCATTCAAAGACAATGACTCATTTATCAAACAAACAAACAAGTCCCAAATTAATGGATTAGAAGAGACAGCCATTTTCTCACAATTCAGTATTTGTCTCTTGAAAAATTAAAACCTGTATCTTCAGAGAATGTATTTGTGTATTTGTATTTGAATGATGGCAGCAGTTAGGTGTTGTTGGAAATGTTCTAAATACAAAATTATCCATTGTGTAATATTAAAGCACATTCAAAAAGTTTTTTTTTTCTTTTTTAAATATTCTCTCTGTCCATATCTTTCTTGTCAAAAATCTAGTCTTTACCTCTAACTTAATATCTCTTTCCCTTGATTGGTGAGTTCACCAAGGTAAGGTTTTTGACATGTTGCATTATGCAGATTTCAGCCTTATGATTAATTATTGATCAAATATTTAATTATAGAAATTCCCCTCTTTCTTGACCCTTTTAGGGAGGTCAGAGCACAGGGTCAGACCAAAACAACATTTGACAGGATTCAGTGTATTGGTACAAGACACTTGAGCAGTGTCTAACCTTTTAACCTGGAACTGCTGGTTGAACGACATAAATGCTACCATAAGTCATTCAGTGACCATTCAGACATCTGAGTGCCTTGAGCGTTATGCCACATTCTGTAAAAGGTGGTGATTGAATCAATAGTAATTTATTATATTGCAATATTGTAACTTGACAAACACAAGGTAACATTAACTAGTCCGCAAGCAAAAGATTTGGCTACTCGGCTGTCATAAAACTGCACCCAAATGCAGTAATTTGGCTTAAAAAAAAACAAACAAAAAAAACAATTTGTAAGCTTGTGAAAACAGTTACGCTTAGCAACTAGATAGTCACAAAATGCGGACACAATTAGAAAATGTTTTTTGCTATGTAATTAATCACATTTTAGAAAAGTAGCTAGTAGAGATGTTACCGATTATTGAATTAACTGCTGTTAATAATCTAGCAGTTTAAAAATATCTTAGCTGATTAGACAGAGGATGAAGGACATGCATGTCAGAAAATGTGTTGTAGATTAGCTGTCGTACCTGGTTGCACAACCAGGTAGAGCCTCTTGCTGTTTAACACTGTAACCACCTGATGACTACAGCCATTCCCCTGTTAGCAAGTGCAGAGCATTGTGGAAGTTTAGCAGGTAAAGTGTCACCATGGGAAAGTCTTCTGTGATGCTTAATGCCTACCGGACAGTGCCCTCATCTTGTAGGCAAGCTGAAGTGCATTTTGAAGGCATCTCTATTTCCTTGTAGCGGATTGTTTTGTCCAGTAGAGTGGTCAGCGTTTACAGCAGTTTCATCAGGACATGGAATGTGGTAAATTTTATGTTATTTAATCATGCGTTGATTAATCATGCATGTGCAACCAAGATGCTTGCCATCCAATTGGTCTGACTTCCTGTTTACTGCCTGCACACATGAATGGGCTTAAATATAATAATTATATGGCTCTTGATTATCGTCATTTCCTTTTTCAATGATATTGTATGTGAGAAAGGGGTTTTTTCAGCTTGGTTTGTTCACATGGGGCTTGATGTGAAACCCATAAATTTGCTGTACGATTTGGCAGACATTTTTAGCCACATTTGAACCAACAACAAAGTGTGTCACAAAAGCTCCATGATTTATCTGAATGACACCAGTCTGGTGAGGCAGGTGTACACAAAGAAGCCTGTCCAGCAAAAAGTTGAACGTGGATTATTTTTTGTTGAACACCATAAAAAGTCCTCCCGGCAGAAGTCCAAACATAGACGCACATTTGTAATATCACTTTGTTATTCAAATCAACACATTTTAACTGTTTATTTTGTGATTGTCGCAAGAAATCATAAAATAGGTTGTTGCCATGACTTTTCAGTTATGAATCTATTACTCAAACAGGAATTACCTGAAGTAACACAATCCCAGAGAGTTTTTAAATACTTCGACATACCCAGTGTATTCTTTCTTAAACACAGCTGTGTGCTGTGGTCCTCTCGGATAGTGTAGCTGGAATGATAACTATTTACCAAGCAGGTTTAGACATAGCTCTGAAGAAGGCAATATCGACCATATGCCAGAGAATCTGATTCCAAATGCCAGTTGTTTCTATTTTTTTTTTTCTTTTCCCCTTTTTTTGCTTTGGAGCACCGCTGATGCCAGAAACTTGTTCAACAGTGTAGCCTCCAGACTCGTTTCCAATGCCAAAGCCAAGGTTGGCAGAGCAGATGAGCTTGGCAGTCCTAGCCCTGCACCAGCATCTATAGCTAACATGACTATGCCAGCCACTGTAGCACTCCTGTAGACGTTAGAGTGCAAGAGCAGAACCAGTGTGCTCCATGCAGGCCAAAGTACTGCTGTGGGCGTACTATCTAGCCAAACCAAGACCTGCCTTGGCTAAAACATAACACAAACCATTTCCTTTTCCCTTTACTCTGGTCTGGACATCCTTCAGTTGTCACCACTTTCCACAGATTGCCTAAAATTTTACAGTGCTGAGCTCATCCAAACACAAGGTCATGTCCAGTTGAAATCAATGAGCAGTATTCTCGGGGCTAGGTTATTTTCTGTGTGCTAGTCCAGCACTTTGTACTGTATCTCACCTTGTGTCATATTTTGGTTATCTGCAAGTACCAACAACAAGGTTAAAGCCAAAAGACAAACTACCACTGGGCCAGTGTTGTATGGAATAGGCTTATGTTAGGAAGGCTTGATAATATCCATCAATCAGTTGGGGATGGTCTCTAGGTGTATGCCTGAGGTGCTGTTTGCTATAATTTCCTGACACCGTATGTAAGGAAAATGCTCTGAACTATTATTTCAGGATATTTGAAACACAACAAAATATCCAAGTGTCCCAGGGTTTTAATTGTTCTTACTATCAGCTTTTTGCATTCTTTATATTTTAGATGTTGTGCTTTTTAATTAAATTGTGAATCTAATGCAGTTTTATTTGTTTGTGTGTGTGAGAGAGATAAAGACACAGATGCAGACACAGATACAGTGTGGCCTGATGTGACTGAAAATTGTGCCTTTTTGGCCATTTTTTACTCAACTACGTGGTTGTTATGAGCCACACACCTCGCTTGAATAGAAATCTACCAAACCCTAATGTGAAGCATGTTAGGGGCAGGCTCATGTTGTGGGGATGTTCATCTGCAGAAGACACTGGAAGGCTAGTAAAGGTAGATGGTAAAATGATTGCTGCAGAAAAAAGCTGGCTGAGCACTTTGAAAGGGGCCATAATATACAAAGGCCATCCCCTTGTTTCTTTCCTTTCTCCATGGATCAGAAAGTTTGTCACTGTGCGAGCCGTTCCAGTTTGCAGCCTGTTGTGATATTACACCAGGTGAAGCACAGCTGTCTCCCTTCTCTGGGCTCCCCTCTGCCACTCACTGAACAGAGCAGACGATGAAAGGTGTGCATGCAGCCCCTCAGCCACAATTAAGTTGGATTTAAAGCTATTACACTGAAACCGGCTATATGGAACGGGCCTGAACTGGGGTTATTACAGGCATGGTAGAATCAACGATCTGTGCAGTACTTAAAGCTGAAACTTAAAATGCACATTTTAATGGACATATGAGACTTAAATTAACTTGTTAAAAGAGAGTATAATATAGGACCTCTAAAAAAAAAAAAGGCGACTTGGAAAACAATTGAACTTTTAGTAAGACTGGCTTTAAAACACGAGTATAATGACCTATAGTGGCAAAGTTTGAATCCATACAATCATAATAAAGATCTTATACTTGCTGTTCACACACAGATGCCATGCAACTGAGCAGTTTTGTCCATATGATAATAACCTGTCCACATGAACTCAAAGATGTAGCAGCCGCTTTTAAATATTGTATTAATTTAAGTCAATATTTATAGTTTAAGATGGATCTGGAGAAAGACTGATATTTAACTAATTAGTCCAACTGCCCCATTTCTTTCTGTCTTGTGCACAAACATGCACAATCGCAAACATGCACAGGGAATTGGAATAGTGCTATGTGGATTAGTCTGAGCCACTTTACAGAGCCAGGGCCGAGCACCACATTTTTGTCAGAACAAACAGCTAGCTGACAGTGAAAAAGATATCGCCTGAATTCACCACAAAGTGGTCTGAATAACAACTGCTGACTCTACTACTACAACTTTTCATATTCATACTTGATTGAAATCAGTTTATTTTCACTTTGGCGCCATGATTGTGTTTCTGTTTATTACTGTCAGAGAGAATAATAGCGGTACATCCACTTGGTTTCTGTGTTGTAAACCAATAAAAGGGACTTCAATATTCTTTATTGGCAGTAAGCACTTTGTGTCCTTATGTGAATTTTAATAACTCTCGCATGTTTAGTTTGTAAATCACTCAGATTGACAGCTTGGATTTCCTTCCCTTGTGCTTGTGTGTTGACTAATGTTTCAGTGCAAACTTTTCCATTTCAGAAAAGTAGTTCAGAAGAAAATCATAAGAATAAACTTCAGCCAAATTTTGTCAGAAAGGCTTAAACAAATATGCCTAGAGCTTGAAATTTATTTAGATATGCTCAATTTAAGATAAAGCTAAAGGCAAACTCGGTGACATCTCTAAGAAGTGATGTTTCTGGCAATGTACACACGCGCACGTGCACACATATGCATACATACACACAGACTGCTCGGATGAAATGAATATGTGATAGAGATTTGGCATTGTGCTGCCAACCCAGGACAGGATTTACTCACTCACTCTCACACACACTCTCTCACTCTGTCTGTCTCTCAGCCTATTTATTAACTAAAGAGCTTTCTCTTTGTTTGTCAGGGAGGATTGTCCTCAATAGAGATTTTCTGTGTAATCATCTGATTATCCATCAATTCTCTAAAAAGCCCCAGAGAGGCTGTGTATCCACATTATGCTGAAGGGCACAGCAATGAGA